TGTTCTCCTCCTCCTTCTTCTGTCCGGGGGTTCCGACAAAAACATTAAAAAATGGCGCTTCTATTACTGAGTCAGACAGGGGATAAACTGATACGTTTTGAATTCAGCGATGCTCGAGACAAAACAAAAACAAAGACAGACAGAGAGAGAGAGAGAGAGAGAGAGAGAGAGAGAGAGAGAGAGAGAGAGAGAGAGAGAGAGAGAGAGAGAGAGAGAGAGAGAGAGAGAGAGACAGACAGACAGAGACGGATGGATGAAATAATTAATCAACATTGATAAAGAATTTGAATAAGAACCCGACTCCTTCTCTCTTTCCATCACAATCCCTTTACGCTAGGAATAGTTCCTCCTTTCAAAACGACCAAAACCTCCAGACTCTTGGCCAATATTTTATACTTTATAAGGTTTATAGTCTATTATCCTGTTAGTTCCGTAAGTATTCGCGGGCCAATTCGAGATTTCGCTCCACATTTATACGTCTCTAAAACGTTTATTGTGGCATCAGTCCTATCACTCCGTCTGTATCATATCGTAACTGTTCCTCCCAACACCACCACTAAATGAACCTTTGTGATGCCTACCTCGATATCTGACGTCACACTGTGCGACACAGCGCCTTCATGCTGCCCTATATTCCTTTGCAAAATAAATAAATGTAAAAATAAACATATAAATACCCGGAATCGACTAACCAGACAGATATATAAATAAACAGGTAAATACATTAAGGAAACGAGTCAACATGCATCTGTCTATAAATCCGGACTTTCGCCATGGCCAAAGCAGTCCCGCGGAATCCTACGGTGGGAGTCCCGCAGATCTCCGCCCTTCGCCCCGCTCGCAGTCGCAACTAATCCCTACCCATTCGCCATCCGACTCAAACAGCTATTACTCTCTCCTCGTCAAAGCGTAGACAGGCCACCTCAGCGGTCGCATAATATTAGCATGATAATGTATTTAAGGTTGACCAGAAGAAAAGCGGGGGGAAAAAGTTGCTCCGCCGAACTCGCTAGTACGCGTGCCCGCTCCATGCTGAAGCCGAGTAACTGTTTCTTCAAGTTTTTGTCTCTACAGATCGCTACGACCCTCTCAGCTGGTTGGACTTCAAAATGGATATTTTCTTGCTGTTTTGATCTCCCTCCTTCTATCAACTCTCCCCTCTCTCTTTCGCTCTTTCTCTCTCTCTCTCCCTCTCCCTCTCCCTCTCCCTCTCTCTCTCTCTCTCTCTCTCTCTCTCTCTCTCTCTCTCTCTCTCCCTCCCCCTCCCTCTCTCTCTATCTCTATATCTTTCTTTCTATCTACAGTGACATGACCACTAATATTTGCACCCCTCCCTCCTCACCCCACTTCTCCCATCCTGTGGTTCTTCGTTCTTATTGTTTTTGGTTCTCCAAGATCTTTGACCTTTCATCAAATGAAGTAAAAAAGAAGAAAAACCACTACCACACATTACCTGCCTCTCCCTTTCTATTATTTCTCTCTCTCTCTCTCTCTCTCTCTCTCTCTCTCTCTCTCTCTCTCTCTCTCTCTCTCTCTCTCTCTCTCTCATGACCACTAATATTTGCACCCCCCCTCCTCACCCCACTTCTCCTATCCCGTCGTTCTTCGTTCTTATTGTTTTTGGTTCTCCAAGATCTTTGACCTTTCATCAAAAGAAGTAAAAAAGAAGAAAAACCACTACCACACATTACCTGCCTCTCCCTTTCTATTCTCTCTCTCTCTCTCTCTCTCTTTCTTTTTGTTATAAACAAAGAGCATACATAAAAAAATTATAAATTTGGGGACATCTACATAGGCCTACCCTTTCCATTATCCACTCGGAGAAAAATTTCGATCAAACGTGATAAAAGGAATAACAAGCACGAAAACAGAAAAAAGAAAAAAAAAATGCTTCGTCGAGCTCACGTTATAATAATACCAGAAATGTTTAAAGCGAACTAGAAAAACAACCAAGAGGGAAAAGAGTCCCTCGGCCTGAAAAAAAGAGAAAAAAACACAAAACCAGAAGGCCTATAAATTGTTGAAGATATCACAGGAGACGCAGACTTATCTTGATCAGGGGGGGTGGGATTGGGGGAATGATTACATTAGTGCTAAAGTATTAGTGTTAAGACCGCAAAAGAAAATTCATAAAAAAAATCTTTTCATCTTTTATCCACAAAAACACACGTCATTTATTTTTTCTCTCCTTCCATTGTTGATTATTTTTACTATCACATCTCAGAACACGTTTTGCATTTTTTTCCCCGCCGAGTGACAACATCTGCGGCTTTCCTCCTCCTGGGAAAATCTGCGCCTGGCCTACCTCGATTCCGGCTACCGCAATTTCATAATTATTGAATTAAATAACCCCAATTATCTTTATGACCTACGGTACATCCACGAGTTTCTTTACGTGCTTTTCTTCTGCAAAATGGCCGCTCCCGACGTTTATTACGATGTTAATTGATTTATTGTACGACATTCAGCCTTTTTTTAATGCCTTTATGGGCCTACGGGT